CAAGAGCTATGGAGCCAACTTCTCATGGGATAAGAAGACAAGGGTTACCACCAAATGAGTTTTAGATGATTGGATTTTAGATGTCTTGTTTTCAGAAAGTGTTTTATTGCAAAGGGCAACAGGACCATATTTGTGTTCAAAGTTGACTAAGGCACTGTCAAATATCACATTGAATCTTACAAAAGTTCTATTTATTAACTTTCATCTATGTCGAAAGATAATAGACGAAGCCTTATAGACATATTTTTATGTCCATTGTTATCACAGAAAATGTAGTAAATGACAGTGAAGCTTGTACCTAAACCAGTTTTATGATTGAGCCTACATAGAGGCTTGATGACGAAACTCAAATATAGTTTTCCAGCATACTTTCCCACAAATATGTAGTTTGTTTACAAATAATTGATACATCCCTTATTTTAGTTGTTTACCCAAGAAAAAACATTCTTTATGAATTCTTTCTTGGCATAAAAAGAAGAGTAACGATAAACACCATTTTATCTTCTTCTTTTGAGAGGTTTATAAGTGGAAAGCATATGCTTGTGATACATTGGGTTGCACCAACCATTTTTTGTTTAGAAGGAAAAAAAAGAGAACCTTTATATGAACAATCACTTTTGATTGCGTAATAATTTGGATTGACAATTCAAAGCAGGAACTTGGGGAGAATGAAGTACATTTACATTATAAAGTATATACAATTTGCAACCACGTTGTCCCATGGATGATGTTATTGAATTCATAGTTAAAGCTGGAGTCTAGTTATACTTACTCGTCCTACTAAATTGATATTGAGATGTGTTGAATTCAGTGCCCAAGTGATCAGAAAAGTGAAAACAAATGCCATTTTCCAACCCTGAATGGGAGTCGACCCATTTCATCAACAAATTGTAACATATAGCCTATATTATGAATTGTATGCGATACACATGTATGATGCTTTATTTTATGACATTAAAGTATCATTGTGTGGTATCACTCAAATCACCATGTGTCTCCTTTGCAATTCTGAACAAGTTTGAAAGCATCTTGTGTACTTAACATCTATCTGATCTTTACAATTCATTTCATCTTTGTGCAAGTTGTCTAAATATCAATAAGATACTGTTGTTGTTGAAATATTGTAAAATATTCTGATGTGAATGTTTGTGACCTTTTATTCGTTTAAGATAGAATTTTAAATTTTTTTTTAAATGTCAACTTCAGACTTGAAGAAGTTGAGAAATGAGAGACAAAGTCAGAAAGTTATGGATAATGAAAACAAGTAGGAGAGAGATTTTTTGTAATGCAAACTTGCCATGACATCCCTTCCTACTCACCTCCTTTTGAATAATCCTCTAGTTATGCGCCCCTAGTTGATCAAATTATCTCATGATACATCAAAACTTGTTATTTTGATATGTTTTTTTTCTTGAAAGAGGACATGGTAATGAGGCACTTGTACAAAATGTGAGAATATTTGATTATTTACACTGAAAATTTATTTATCTATTTTTTAAACATGTACTTGGCAATGAGAAAATATGTCATTAATTTTGTTTACTAATAGAAAGACAGAACCATGAACTAAGTTGTGATTGGTGAATTTGAGTGGGAAAAGACATGCATGTGATAACATCTATCCTAAAAACTTACAATATAAGTTCACTTTTCTTTTCATTACACTAAACCACTCCTCTAAAAAACTCAATATGAGTTAAAGGAAATGAACATTATTTCAACATTCAAAGGAAGATATTAAGGATGTTTGGCACACATGATAGAAATGATATGCGACAAACTATTTAGTCAGGTTGCTTCTCAGTAACCCTTTTGATGGCATAGGCATGGGCCTACATTATTCAATTGTTCTGTAGGAAAGCATAAAGGTCGAATACATATAAAAAATATCTTGACGATATAACATATTACAACTAAATAATAGTCACAAGAACAACAAGAAAACGTCAACAACAAAAACATGAACAAAACCAACAGAAATTTGAGGTAGTGATAAAAGGTGGAACAGTCTTTACTCTCTTCTTCTTCTTTTTTTCTTCATTTTTTTCAAATTTTTCAAACGTCACTATAATCATCGACGTGAATGTCCAATCACTGCTGAGCAGCGAATGTTCATCTCGTCGCTCCTTTCTCTGGTGCTTCAATTTATTTGATTCTGCTTCCGATTTTCCCGTTCAAACGTATACGAATTTCTTTGGTTTCGGCTCAGACGGCTGTCCCGCCTTGACAAGATGTGCGTGGACGACCCAGCATTGTCCTTTCTCCACGTTTTCGGGAGCATCTCCCTGAAGACAGATTTGAAACTCGGGCTGCAGAAGGCGTAAAGGAACGGGTTGATGATGCCGGTGCAGTAGGCCAAGGTTTTGCACGCAAGGTGTACGATCAACGCCGTCCGCCCGAGGACGAACGCGTCCCCGTATCTGTACATGGTGCTGACTTTCCAGATGAGAAAGACCTCGAGCGGAGCGCGACAGACGAAGAAGACGAGAACGATGACGATAATCTGTCGGGTCAGGGAACGCTTGTCGCGATGTCGCTGGCCTCGGTGATGCGTGCCTCGGATGCTGCCTTCGCTTTTCTTGCGCTCCCGGTCACTGCGCGAGAAATCCTTTAGAATGCGGAAGTGGCAGTAAGCGTGGACGAACATTGGGATGATGAAGATGACCATTGTTACATAGCTGTAGGTGACGATGTGGCCGATGGAGATTGTTTCGTCGCACTCGGTGAAGAATATGCTTGGTATCATCAGCAGGATTGGCACTACCGTTAAAAGAAAACAGAAAGAAAAATATGAATGTACTAAAACAGGAGCGTACGCAGGGGGGGGGGGGGGGGGGGTTACCCCCTTCATTTGTTTGTTATGTGTGTGTTTTGGAGGACCCCCCCCCCCTTCGTTAAAAAAGAATGCTAATCGGTGACCTAAAAAAGGTGACCTTACCCCCCCCCCCCACGGAACGAAATGTTGAACGGTGTTCAAATTTCGGGACCAAAAAAATAAATAGTATGTCCTCTAACCCCCGCCCCCCCCCCCCCCTTGAAAAAATCATGCGTACGCGCCTGGTACTAAATAGTACTAACCCTTACTAACGTAAGCGTGTTAGGTCATTTAACCCCGGAAAATCACCGTCCCCCGAAAAATTAGCCCCCAAGGAAAACCACCCTCGAAGACAATTACTTCCCCGGAAAACTACCCCCCCCCCCCAGCCCGAGAACAATTACCCCCAGTCCCCCAGCCCTGAAAATTTCCCCCTAAGACAATTATCCCCCCCCCCCCCGTGGACAATTACCCCATCCCTGGAAATTATCCTCCTGTTTATTAAAGGGGAAGTCCACCCTGATAATAAGTTGGTTTAAAAAAAAAAGCAGAATTTTTGTTGTCGGGGGGGGGGGGGGGGGGTAATTTTCGAACCCAATCTGCAGGCAAGACTTTTCAATATTATTCACCAATTAAGGATTGGGACGGGAAGGGGTGAATAGCGATACCAACCCCTCCCCCTCCCCGAAAGCAACTTCCACAGCAAAGAATTGTTACCTGTCCAAGCGATAATGATAACGACGGTTCTCCGTGCGCCCGTCCACCTCGCTTCTGACGTCAGGGGATTCATTGTTGCGTCATACCTTATTATCGTCATCACCAGGAGCAAGCAACATGTCGCTTGTTGAGCAATCTGGGTCGAAAAGAGTTTGTAAAGGAGAGTCAGGAGAAGAAGAAGAAGAAGAAGAAGAAGAAGAAGAAGAAGAAGAAGAAGAAGAAGAAGAAGAAGAAGAAGAAGAAGAAGAAGAAGAAGAAGAAGAAGAAGAAGAAGAAGAAGAAGAAGAAGAAGAAGAAGAAGAAGAAGAAGAAGAAGAAGAAGAAGAAGAAGAAGAAGAAGAAGAAGAAGAAGATTAAGAAGAAGAAGAAGAAGAAGAAGAAGAAGAAGAAGAAGAAGAAGAAATAGGAGGAGGAAGAAGAAGATGAAGAAGAAGAAGAAGAAGAAGGAGAGGGAGAGGAAGAGGAAGAAGAAGAAGATGAAGAAGAAGAAGAAGAAAGGAACAGGATAATGTATTAAAGTGGAGGAGGAGAATTGAAGCCGGGAAGTAGATGAATTTCTTCAAGCGTGGGCATACAAACTTGTTAAAGACGATACCGCCTTTGGACTTTGAAGAGAGATAAGGAAAATAAAGAAATACAAATAAAATAATGAGTTGTAAAAAAAAAACAGACCAGAGAGGGGGAGAGAGAGAGAGAGGGGGAGAAAGAGAGAGAGAGAGAGGGAGAGAGAGAGAGAGAGATAGAGAGAGAGAGAGGGGGGGGGGGGGTGTTAGCGGGATGAGGAAAGGAATGAAAGTGTTTGGCCTAATAATATAATGATTTAAAAAAAAAAATCTCTATTATGGCCCGCATCATCTGAATGTGTATGACTTAGGGCATTTAGATCTGATGGTTATAAATTGGCACCGTATCATACATTTTCTTTTAATCACACCATTGTCATATTATGTTACGTCATACGTATCTGATTAATTTACACGATTAATCCTCTTCTGCGAATTAAGAGCGACAAAAATCCATGCATTTACATCACCAAATTTAGTGCTTTGCAAAACTTCTATAAAGTGTATCACATGCAAAGAAAAAAACTTGAATTTGAAATCCAACATTTCCACTTTTCTTCAAGTTTTTGACATACCCGGTATGGGCATCACTATAATAGAATGGGGGTGATTGTAAATTCCGAAAGTTCTCATGATCAAACCTCTGTTTCACCATTGACTGCTCGTATACTGATATACTCTTATATTAATGTTAAACCAAAATGGCTAGAAAACTTAAGGAAAGCTATCTCTCTTATTTGGTTGACCGGTTAATAATAAAGTTCTCTTACGACCTATAGCTGCCATGCCTGAACACCATGCTATCAAGTACGGTATCAACTATAGTTGAAAACAAAACAAAACAACACAGAATGTAACATGGAAGATCACCATTTCGAAGATAATTGAAATACTCATTGCCAGGGACATGACATAAGATTTTTTTATTTCAAAATTAATATAGAAGACTAGATCAAAATCTCAATCATTTGATTTTGACTGCTTTCTTTTTTTCTATAGAGTCTAGCTGATCACAAACTGTACTCACATACTGCATGTAGCTGATGAGTTGACATTGCCACCAGTTGAGTTCATTGACCACGAGAGCGTTGATGAGTGGGTTGACGGTCAGGTAGATGACATCGGCCAAGGCAAGATTGGCCTTGAGTTGGTTGATGATGGTTCGTAGTGAAGGAACGAAGGCAATGAACCCAATAACGACCAGGTTGCATGGTATTCCGACCACGGCGATGGGGAGAAAGAAGTAGAAGTCGAAGAGCTCGATGAAAGGGAGATCGACGTTGGTGGTGGAGTTGAGGTCCGAGTGTCCATCTGCTGGAGATATGGCCGTGATGGTTCTCGAAATCGAAGTCGTAAGGTCCCCAATAATTTGAGCGCTGTCGGTAGCCATACCGTTGTTTTCCTTTATATAAAAATAAATTTTGTTGTTGTAGCTTGTTCGGTATATCTTTTACGGCATTTAAGTTTTCAGTTTTGTTACCGTACATCCCGGATAGAAGATAATGTCTTCAATATTCCGTGTCTGCGATTTAATGAACAATTAACCAACCACTACTCGTTTCGATTGCAATCCCATGTATTTTGCTGGAGTACAATTTCATTCTGGTCCATTTCCCGCCATCACGCAAGCATCCACTCTTTTTCTCAAAGGACAATAATATATTCCATGGTCCTATTATTTTTGAACAGTCCTATTTCACACAGTCGATAGCAGCACGGAATAATCCATGAACATATCTAATGCATGATGTCACTTTTATCCGCGGACAATATTATATTTCTCTTAAAACATGCCTAGATTATTCTCATAGCTCGAGATAGTGCGAGATGTTTTGGGGTCTTAAACACCTGTTGGTATTTGTTATCTGAGTATCATGAAACTAATCGGTCATTCAGAGTTGAGGTTCGGGGTAATTAGCATAGATACGAGTACTTAAGTTTTGTTTGTTTAATAAAGATGATATTGAGGTGCTAGAAAGAGGATCGCGTGTTCATAGGTAGGATGATCTCGTGTCTTTGATTAATGATTTTCTTCAGGATTATGTCCGGGAGCATTTTTTTTTTTGGGGGGGGGGCTTTTGGGTTTTTGCGATCAGTTTCATACAAATTAAAATTAAAATTAAAATTCACGTTTATCGATACAAAACCACAAGGTCGAATTACCATCAGACACGAACAACAATACATTAAAACAAGACAAAATGCATACATTGGTACACAATGAATGTACATGCCTCTCGATAATTTTTGTTCGGGGCGGGGGGGGGGGGGGTGAGGACTTGAAGTTCCCAGTCTTCTCTGAGAATCGCTTAGTTATGTCACTATATCACGTGCTGGACCAATGTTGACCGTCGGTCAAGCAAAACCATTGGTGGTATGATTCAGTGGTGTAGCGTGCAGGGGCGGCGATCGGGGGAGGGGGGGGGGGCGGGGGACACGTCCTCCTAGTTTTGTTTTAAGGGGGGGGGGAGGTAGTCCCCCCTGAGAATTTGAAAGTGTCCAAACAAAATGTATAGCAAATACTGACTAAAGACTGCAACCTACTTTTAGCCTCTGGAGGGCCCAAGAGAGTGCGGCATTTTATTTTAACCCCCCCCCCCCAGGTCGTGAAAAGAAATCACCGCCCCTGGGAGCGTGGGTCAAGCAATGGTGAGGGCACTGGCATCGTTGAACCATGGACTTACTATAGTGGTTGGCATGCACAGTATATAGGTGTAACTGAGGTGATTTAATCGGGTTACTGATCAGTGGAAAGTTGGTTGTGTATGTGTGTGTGTGTGTGGGGGGGGGGGGGTAGGGTAGAAAAATTTGATAAAATGTCTATTTCGTCGAATGCTTTACAATATGATTGGTTATGTCATGAATACCTATTTATCTTTATCGTATAATATTGATATAGAATGTGCTCTAATCCACTCAATGCCTACTTCCCTCTATACAGTGTGTCCGAGAAAAAACGAAACCGAGAATTATCGACGTTTTAATTATAATTCCTAATAAATAAATTATAAGGTCCTCTTATTCCATTTGATGAAACTCATATGATGCATATTTCACGCATGAGTGATTAAAACCAATATGAAGAGAGGGTACCAAAAAGTTATTTGGCGGGCGGTATCTGAATTTCAAAGAGAAAATCACATTTCTAGAAAGTTCATTTTTTTGCCCTACAATGTGACACCACAATCAGGAAATGAAGTCTTTCGTCTTCTCTGTTTGTTGCTACGTCAGGCAGTCAGTGAAAACGAATTCGTTTAATCAAATTATGGAAATGCAAGCATTACTTTAAACAAACAGAACTTTGTTATTCCTGGCTCATTTCTCCTGATTGAGGTGTCATATATTATGAAAGGGCAGAAAATGAGTGAACTTTCTAGAAATGTAATTTTCTCTTTGAAATCCAGATACACTGTAACGCCCGCCAAATGGCTTTTTGGTACCCTCTCTTCAAATTGTTTTTAATCACTCGTGCATGAAATATGCATCATACAAGTTGCATCAAAATATGTGTCATTTACTAATTGTAATTGTGAGTAAGTTATGATAAAACATCAATAATTCTGGATTTCATTTTTTCTAGGACGCACTGTATAGCTGCAGCTCTCATCATTATTACCCCATCACCACTCCCTCTCTCCTCCCAAGACATGTTAGTGTGTTTTCCTGTCATTCTACCTTCTCCGCTTTAAAAGAAACTAACACAAAATAATGTATCATAATCATTAAATATCACATGACAAAAATTGACTGCTGTAGTAAATCAAAACGCATTTTGAAACGATCTGCCATTTTGTTTAGTTTTTCTCTCTACATGTTTAAAGGTAATACAAAGTTTTGGGCAATTTTAAAATTGGGTGGATAGTGATTCTTTACAATTTTAGTACATTAGGATGTCCCTGTGGATGTAAGCACTAGAAAATTTAGCCCCTAAAACACTTCTGCTTTCGAGAAAAATGGAATATAAAAATTTACCGGTGCTCCCGGTAAATTTTGATAAATTTCAAATAGCGCCTACGGCCGTACAATAGTAGCTGCGACCATGAAAATCTCTGAATATGTAGTTGTGATATATAATTTCCAAATGGTAATAGCTAATCGGTTGATTTTAGTCAAGAAACATTGTTTGATAGCTTAATTAATATCTTGACCTTGAGAGGGAGCTATACAGCATAAAGAGTTAAATATTTATAATTTCATAACTTTAGACTCGATTTCAAACGCGACAACGATGACTGAATATTGTAGGATCCCATATGCTTCCAATATGTTCATTTGAACCAAATTCATGACCTCATACCAAAACTTTGTAATACCTTTAAGCGGTCATCATGGTGTTTTTTTCAAAGTCCTGCTCAGTTGGACTATTTTGAAGAGAATACAGATGTCCAAGAAAACGATGATATATTAGAACAGAAGCATTCAGGGAAAGTACGATAAACACCATGTCCATAAGAGAAAGATATATTTGAAATGATGAAAAAAGAAGATAATAGGGTGAATTTACTTAAGCAAGGTTTCAGAACAAGAGAATCAGAGAAATAATAAACTGATGGCAAACAAAGGCAATATTTGTAATAGAAATGCAGATTTTTGTATTTTATTGATATCCACATAAAATAAATGATGATTTTAACCATCAAAGTTCAGCTTCCTTCGTTTTGCATTTTGCATGAATTATAAGAGAAATATAATTATGGTAAAGAAGAAATTAATATTTTACACAAATGATGGGTGCATTATTGATATTATTCATTTCAAATGCATATATTTCTTCATATACACCCCCATTTCATACATAATTTTTCCAAAGGGTAAATTTCTTTGCAAGATCATTCCCCCCCCCCCCTCATTTTATTATGTGCCACTGCCCCTCTGAGAAAAGTACCCCTTGATCAATGGTTCCACCCATGATGATGCTATGCCAGAGGATACATGTACAGGTGGTGTCTGAAGAGCTATTACAATGTCAAATGAAAACTGCATTTTTGAATTCCTTTAAAATCTGTGTTTGCCCCATTTAGGGCTTTGAAAGCCTCCAATAGCACAACTTGTAAAACAATGGAAAATAAGGATAAAACAATAAAAGTACATGAAACACTGAAGGGTCTGTTGAGACTGAGCCAGAATGATGTTTTCTCTGTGTTAAAGTATACAAGTTAATGCCCTATTCTCTTCAAACGGATAAGGATACAAGAACTGAAATATAGTAGAAATATATGTTTCAGTCTTAAAAGGTTTTACAACAGGCATTTGCACACATGTACCTCATACACATTATTTATATTACTTAATCGATAAAATACATATTTAATCATATAGTTTGCATTAATCAAAATCAATGAAATAAGTTGTCAATGAAATATTAGATAAACAGGATTGTTTTTCAAATTATTTCGAGAATGGGCAAAATCTGATACCAGCTGGTAGCTCAACAACCGATTATGAAGATACACAAAAACAATTTGATATGAATTATGAAAAGCCAACCGTTGCATAGAGGCAATATGCAATTTGCAGTATAGAAATATCTTTTATTATTATTATTATGACCTTGAGTACATGCAAATGGTATCAAGAATGATGTTTGATAAAGGAATACGAATTTAATGATTTATGCAATCTGATAATATATTCATAAATCATAGACTTCAATATAGGTAATAAATGTATTTGGAACTACTTAAACCAATGAAGATCCACATCTTCCAGTACATGCATGTATTAAAGTTTGTACGGTTCTTGTAGCATTCAACAAGATGCGTTAAACCAAGGAGATTTTACAACAATTTTACAAAAATCTCCTTGGTTATACAGCAAATACCTCAATGTCAGATCAAAGAATTTCCTCCCACACATATTCTGACAGCAGTGTGAAACCCTATCAATAATAGAACAACAGTATTGCAGCACAGCTCTCATAAGCTTGATATATATTGATGGTGTCCTAAAATATGAAATAAACTTTGCCATTCAAGGAATATCACATTTTTTAATGTGGAATTTACGAGAGACATTCAGTACATGTATGTTGTGACTGTAAGAGCAAAGATGTGTGTACATATACATGTACATTAAGCCCTTAAAATTGTCCATCATTGCCTGAAACAGGAATTACATTTGGTCCACATCTCTGCACTATGCATGTGCGCTCGCCTCCTCTCGCTAAACCCATTTGATACCAATTTTTTTTATTGTCCATAGACTCCAGTCATAATGGTGTCAGGAGGAGTATCAAAAGGGTTAAAGGCAAACATTTATAAGGGAAAGGTCAAATAAAACATGCACCCAAATTTACAAATAGTAAAATGCCCATTACATGTGGGTGAATATGCTCTATGAACTACACAGATCTATCTACATCCAAAAGATTTGAAAATAATACATTTCTTTGTATTGGTATAAAAAATAACAAGAACAAAAGAATCAAACTCTAAAGAAATAAAGAAACAAAATAATATACTTCAAGAGAAAATGATTCAACAAAATTCAGCAGATGGGATAAAATTGAAATCCAATAAATTGAATTCTACATTATGCTATAAAACATACCAAACTAGTAATTTTGATGGTGATGTTTTTAGCTTTCAAATTCCCATGAAAATACCAAAAACGTCTGGTGATACATTTTCTCTTTGATTTTAACCATGCTAATGATGGCATACATGTACATGTATTTTGAATTGAAAAAAGACGATAATTACTTCAAGTTCTTTAGCTTGTAGGCAGAATCAAGATATCCTAAGCCCAGTATTCTACTGAATGAGTTCATCCTAAAATTTGGTTAAAGCTAATTTAAAGTCAACAAAATTTGGTTTCTGTGGCGGGGATTCATAGGGCTGCAGTTTATCTGTTTCATACAATGCTGTAACGTGTAAAATTGTGAGTTGTGCTTTTCACGTTTTGGTGAATGTTTATACCGTACTAAGACTTTATAAATGTACACATACATGTAGTGTACATGTACATTGTATTTTGCAGGTTAAATATCAAACATTGACTGCCTGATAAACAATTCATATCATTTAAAGCCGATTTCTCTTGAAAATATAGGCCATTACATGTACACGTACCAACATTTAAGATTAGCTTAAAGGCTCATTTATATGAAGTAGTACACCATGGTGGTTTCTTTGTTTGCATCATGTAAATAAATGATAACTGCGCGCATCAAAGATGTGTATTCCCTAAGTTAAATACAGAAATGTGAATTCTATACACAAAAAATGCCATGCTTTACTGCAGCATATCTTTAAATCTTAAAATTACAAAGGAAATCCTATATATGTATTCATGTATTACCTTTTTGAAGCAAAAGAAAATAATTATGCATTTTCAATAATAGCAAGGCATACGTGTACAGAATACATGTTCATGGAATCCATTCACTCAAGCAACTCCTACCCTGTGCAGACAAACACAGTCTCTTCATATGCCCTTTGTGGCAGGCTGCGATGGCAAGCGACAAGTGTGAATCCTCCCAAACGTCCTTGCTCTACATGTAGACCACAACACCTTCTGCTGCTCCGTCCCAACACAATTTGCCCAGCATGTTCACACTGGCCGTGAAATTGTACGTCTGCAGCTGATTATGGGCGATACACACAGGAATGTTCTATCCTCTCATCGTTTGGATCGTTTTTGCATGCAAAATAGCGACAGAGTTTGTGACGCGGTAATGGTGACGATATCGAGACTTTGCATGGGATACAGGGCCTTACGATCCTCCGTTGTCTCTGCTGTTTTGCTGTAGCCTTGGCATCTTTCGGGCGGGAGGCGATTCACTATCAAGGTTGGCATTTCCTTGATCACGCTTTTTATGAACGTTCTACAAATATAAAGGAAAAAAGAAGGCAAGGTTCACATTTCCAATAACTGCGTATTTTGTCATATTGACAAACAATAAAAGACATCAAGATACACAAATTGCTTGTATATTCTATGTTTCTACTCTTTTTATTTAACAATCTGATTAAACAGACAGATCCACAATTGTATACACATACCAAATGCATGTAAAAATATAATGAAGCCTCCCAAGTGACTTACGTGTAGACAAAACGGCAGAACACTACAAAGAGCCATACATGTAGGCTACTACAATCCAATTCTGGACAATACTGGAATATCATTAGAAATGGAAATTCATATAATTAAAAACCTTTCTGATCGAGATAAAATAGTAATGTAATTATATTGTAGGCATTTCATCACATGCAAAGGGCCCAACCAAGATGTGACTGGTCAGACATTGATGATTCCCTGCCAATTGAGCTCTTACTCTGACTAAAAGCCACATGATACCCTGCAGAATGCAGATCACGACAATAATGAACATAAATCAGGTCAATTCTACATGTTATTCAAATTCCATCTCATGATGGTGATTTTTTTGTTTAAAATAGGAGCAAAGCTGTAACATACAATTAGGCTAAAATTTGAAAAAATGAATAAATCACCTTCTTGTCCCATTGCTGATGTAGATATCTTAGAAGAATGTTCGTCTTTTCTGTCGTAATCACTGAAAAGGAAAGAAAATATGATAGAAAATTTATTTTACTCATGCTCTTTTGAATATAACATAAACCGGTACCCTGGAAGCAGTAGCATACGCAGGATTTTTTTCAAGGGGGGGGGGGGGGGGGGGGGTAAGAGGACACTTTTTTGTTGTTTTTTGTTTGGTCCCCCCCCAAAAAATCGCAACAACTCAGCCAGCCACACAGAGACTCCCTGTGGTGTACCGTGGCTATACAGAAACTCCCGAGTGGGGGGGGGGGGGGGGGGGGGGTGTAAGGTCACCTTTTTTAGGTCAGCCATTGGCATATTTTTTTATTTTTTATAAAAAAAAAAAAAATCACAAAGGGGGGGGGGGGGGGTTCTCCAAAATACACACATAAAACAAAAACTGAAGAGGTGGGGGGGGGGGGGGGGGAGTTTAACCCCCCCCCCCCCCTGCATATGCGCCTGCCTGGAAGGATGTACAATTTAAGACCAATTGGGGACTTCTGAGTTTAACCTGAATGGTAGGTTCTGGTAGACTACACTGAAGGTCCATTGAACAACATTTCTCCATCTACATGCAAAGTAAGGCGATGTATGCAAGATCCCCCAACCCACCCCTCACCCCCTTCCCCAATTCAAAATGGGCTTACCTTGTTCCGAAGGGTAGTCTTTGGTTGGCAAGTATACGTTGGGCTTTTTGCTCGGCTGCATATTGGACACCAAAAGACAAAAACAAATGTTGAATTGTGGGTTAGCAAATAGCAAAGCAGTAGCAAATTATGTTGTTTTGTAGGAATTTCATTATTAGCAAAGTCACACAAAAACTGCACATCATTTTTGTTTCTTTGCCAGTTTATGATTACATAGTGTAAATGTATCCAAAAAACTGAAGATGGAGAAAACAAATCAAATCATCCGGTAAAAGGATTAATATGAATACAATCTCTTATGTATTACAAAATATCTTCAAGATATCATCATTGCTAATACTAGCACCAACACTACTCTTGCGGTTCAACACCAAATACAATGTACAATCTACAAAAAGGATAAAACAAAAAAGGTTGACATTATAGATGATAAGAAGCCTAAGAAGGACTAAATACTTGACCCTTCCAAACCTTTACAAAAGTATGAAATTATAATACTCACTGTACTTCTGTTCGGTTCATTGTGATATTTGGTGAAGTTGTTTTCATCATGGCACGGAAGGCCTTTCAGCAGCTCCCCAACTGCACTCTACATTGATCAATTAGGAAGCCAATCAAATGAGGTATGTGAAGGAAAGAAGGAGGAAAGTAGGAAACAAAAAAGAAAAAAAAAAACACTGAAATTTGTATTTCGAAAGCAGATATATCCTTGGACCTTGTGTTAACATTGTCAATAAAAAAATGTATATTTGTATCTGTCAGTTTTCTCAGTTGCAATTAACTGAAACCGAATTGACCACAGTCTGAAAATATTGTGTAAGCCTACACATGCATGATCACAGGTAATCCAAACCCCTTTAAAACATATTTATGAATTTATAATCTGGTCAAAATCATCCTTTTTTGAGTTTTTTACCCCAAATTTATCTAAATATTCACCCCCTAAACAAGTTGACCCCCTCAAACAAAAGTGTATCCCCCAAACAGGCAGAGACGCCAAGTTCAAAGATCGGCAATGCATGAGATTTTCATGATTCGGCACGCGAGCGCGCGTGCGAGGGTATAACACATGTATAAGGTATAGCGTTTTTTCCAAATCTAGCGCGCGCGTCGTGCGTAAAAGCATTTTTAGACCCTTGAAATGCGCGCGTCGTGCGTAAGAGCATTTTCAGACCCTTGAAATGCGTGATGTCACACTTAATGCATGATACTTGGTAGCTCTGAACAGGGTCTACGTCCTCTTTTTCTACTTGTTAAAAATAACTATTATTGATATTAACAATTGAAATTTATAGTTGCAGTGAAGGAAATATAGAAACACAGAGTCCAGGCAAGGGTGCCATATGTCATGAATGCATTTTAACAAACTCAACTTGCCTATTAAACAGCCTAAATATGTCACAAACGACACACGCCTTAAGCAGCAAAAACTTTAGAATATACATGTATACCACCACAAAGTTGACCAGATATTAACCAACGCTTTACCAATCGGCAACACACCTGGGCTGTGTGTCACACAACTGTCATAAGTACAAGGTCAGCGACATTCCATTAAAAACAGAGCTACCAAGTATCACGCATTAGGCGTGACATCACGCATTTCGAGGGTCTGAAAATGCTCTTAAGCACAACGCGCTTGCTAGATTTTGAAAAAAACGCTATACCTTATACGTGTTACACCCTCGCACGCGCGCTTGCGCGTCGAATCATGAAAATGTCACGCATTGCCGATCTTTGAACTTGGCGTCTCTGTGAAAAGCGTGTTAAACTTAAATAATACACACATTTCAATGGGATGTCGATCATGTCGCTCAACTTGTATGAAGGGGTGACCAAAGTTCGCGCAGATTTTAGAACAAATTAGAAAATGTGATATTCGATCCATGTTTTCTCATATTCTACACAAATTTATTTATTTTAATTACTACCAAATGGACGGCAAAGTATTTTACTACCAATTGGTTCAACTACAACATTTATCGTCGAAGGATTTCGGAGATATCGCGATCTAAAAATTCGATGTCCGATCGTGCATGCGCGCTGCATCTAAAAAAGTCATAAAAACAACGAGACCTAAGTTCACGCACGGGGGTTTACAGCTGATTGATACAAAAATACGATCCATCAAAAATAAGGTAATTTCATAATTTGCAAGGCAAAATATCATACAACCAGACGGTACCACTTATTACTTACAATTTTGAGGATATCTGCTCTCAAAATGAAGATTTCCAGACCCTTATCGGTAAGTTGGTAATTTTTCGGAACGGACGCAAATAACTGCAAAATGTGCCGATCTTTTGTCAATATTTTCACAATTTCGCACCCAATTCCAAAGAAAATTTCGTTTCTGGGTAATTTTATGATCCTCTTTCCATTGGTGATATCAGATTTTCGAAATCTTACCGATTTTTTGAGAAAGCGAACTTTGGTCACGCGCGAACTTTGGTCACACAGCCATACTTATGACGGTTTCGTGAGACGCAGCCCCGAATGATGTCAAAATCAAATTCCCCAAGAGGCAAGAGACTCCAGTTTTTATATTATGTTTTAATGGCCCGTATTCTGAAGTCGTGTCTAACTTAGCCACGTCTAAAGTTAAACAACTGTTTAGTTAGACACGACTTAGACAGGACTTAGACGCGAGGTCGTGTCTAAGTCCTGTTTAACTAAATTTCGTATTCTGAAGTCGTGTCTAAGTCTCGTCTAACTAAACAACTGTTTAAGTGCTGTCTAAGTGGTGTTTAACTAAACAACTGTTTAAGTTCTGCGCAAGTCGTGTTTAACTCTTAGTCACGACTTCTGGGCATGCCCAGTAGGCGTTAATTGTGACGAAAGACCCAATGCGCATGCGTGCGCGCACCGGATAAATAAATTAACGCGCACAGCTAGCTGTGCGCGTGCTGGTACCATGGTGATGTGATTGTGACGTAATGACTAGACTGCATGTACTTTGTGTACGTACGTACGTAGTACACGTACTGCATGAGATTGACAAACACACTACTCATCGGTGCCTCAGTGCTCGGAAGAACCACAAAAGAAACTTCTCCAACAGAATGGTTAGTTACTTAGTTTATTATAGATTATGGAATTTCCAAGATGTCACCAGTAGATAAGAATAGTTAATATTATCGAGAAAAAAATTAGGCTACACGAGAAAAAATCCTGCAAAACGTATTTGAAATTTTGGAGAATGCACGTACCATCGTTCTCCCCCGCAAGTTCGGGGTCAGCAAGTACAGTGTACCGTCGACGTTGAAAAGCAGCAGAATCGCGCCCTTAAACAGGACTTAAACAACCCCTCGCAGTTGTCTAAAGTTAAACAGGACTTAGACAGGACTTCGTGTTTAACTTTATTTAAACACGACTTCAGAATACCAAAAAAGTTAGACACGACTTCGTGTCTAAAGTTAGACGGGACTTAGACAAGACTTAGACAACTGTTTAGTTAAACAGGACTTAGACACGACTTCAGAATACGGGCCAATGTCTTTAAATATTGCAACACTCAGAAAAGGGTCTAGAAATTTAAAATAAGAGTCTTCTAGTCTAGGGCCTAATAAATCTAGATCTAGAGACCTATCTAGAGTAGGTCTAGATAGTAGATCAGCATACATTAGTAAAATTGCAACCGATACTAGATCAGATTTAGGCTGCCTTTGAACACTGACAAGAATTGGGCGGGGTCCAAGGGTTAAGGGTTCATGCAACATCATCTGTCGTTGGACACTGCACTACTCAACACGGCCACGGCAGTCGGGCGAAGCACACGAAACCGTCTGCCTAGCTGCCCGAGCTGTGGGCCTACAAACTACATCAATAGTGGTCTGTCCCGCAGAACGCGGCAGCCGTGGCCGTGTGTGTGTGTGTTATTTTCCCTAACCCGAGCGAACTAACACCGACAGTAAGCCGATTTTTCAGATGTAGACCCCTATACAAGAAATTACTCCGATTGAACTACAAAAATCATTAAAAGCAATGTAGAAAACTTACCATCCTGTATGATATGAAAAGTTTTGCCGACGTAACAGCACCGTAAAACTGGATTTTACCTCAAATTGTGGATCACAATTTCTTGTTCCATTCGATATTATTCGACGTGTGTCGAGTTCAAAGGTCATTGAGCTAGCTAGGTCATCAATTTTGCAATAACACTGACTCAGTTAGAGTGGAGAGAAGAGGTGAGGAATTACTATTTGTTGGTCTTTTTTGATACTACAGAAACTATGCCATTGGGTCTAATAAAGTTGTAGTGAAAACTTACACTTTTCAAAATGTATATAATCTAGATCTAGATCTATTCTGATAACAGGAATTTGAAGAAAATCATTTTCCCAACAGTTTCAAAGAGTTAACAATGGGTAAAAATTGCTTGCCCACGCATTTTGTTTTGTGTTTGTACTTTTAACTTATTTTGGCTTTGCTTGATTTTATATTTACACGAAATGTGATTACTTACATCGATGTCTCCTTTGTGAAATATACTTCTATACTAGATAACCACTAGCCATGCAGAGTGATTGAAACATTTGTCATTTAATAGTCATGAACTTGGTAGTGACAACTGAAATTGAAAATGAGGTCACATGATGATGATCTGGCCAGCGTTTCTCGAAACCGTCATAACTACAAGTTCACCGACATCCCATTGAAACGCGTGTATTAAGTTTAACACGCGTTTCAATGGGATGTCGGTGAACTTGTAGTTATGACGGTTTCGAGAAACGCTGCCCTTATGATTGTGAGATTGTGACTAAATGACTGACTGAGATTATTAGTTCAGTTTGCATGTTGGCAACTGCTGATTCATGATGATGCAATTCGAGATGATTAATCATTAATTTTTTTCTTCAAATACTATGTGAAATGTCTTATTATGTATCATAGGTACAGATCTGCTATACTTTTACATGTAAAATATTGTTATAAAGTAGATCTACATGGATTTACAAAATAAAGCCTGGACTCTGGAGTTCATTATTAGACAGAAATAACCATCTGTAATGTGGAATTCTTTAATAGAATTTAAAACTGACCTTTGTCAACCATATAATTATAGAGGTGGTCAGAGGAGTCGGACATAAAGTCTCTGACTCTCAACGGAAGTATCTCTTTATCCCTCTCTCTCTAGTGACCATTGTTTTAAAAATCTTTGTCTTTTCATCTCTCTTCTCTAAATTCACTTCTTGTTTGTCACTTCTTACTTCTACCTGTATTCACTTACTCTGTTAAAGCTTACAAATCATGTGACCATCACTTTGTTTACTTTATATAATTTACAAACGTCCTAGATTTTTTTCTTCATATTGTACATGTACGTATATGTAGGTAGAACCTTCAAAAGAACGACATGATATCGCAATCAAATATGAGCTGGAACAACACCATTCTTAACTGAAGTCGATGGGATTCATAGAAAAGAATTTCAAGAACTGTCAAAGCTGAAAAGTGGCCTCTCTTTTGGTTCTGTATAAACAAGCTCAAGATGCCGTCTGTTATTTCTCAGTCACCAGAGTATCTGAGCTTCAGAAGTTCAGTTCCTCAGAAAAGGGTAAGTTCTCTTAAAGTAATCCCTCGATCCTCTAAGCAAGTGTAAATGTACTGAGATCAACTTCTTGTCTTGGTAAACAAGAAACAAAAATGCAATTCTGTTCAAGTCAGTGTGGGCAATTAAATAATTTAATTAGAAATGTAAGAAAATCAAAGACAACATCATGTCGATGGCTTTTAAAGGAATAATCAACATCAAATTTATCATTTTGTAGTTTGTACACAAAAATCTAACTTGTTCCAAGAAATTCAAGTATATAATTACAAAAAAGTGAATCTTTTGATTGATTTTGTGCCTAACATATTATTTCAAATTTAAATGAAACTATGAGTGTACATTTTGTAAATGTTCATTGACTTTTAATAATAATAATAATAATAGTGGGTTCTTGTATAGCGCTCATGTCAGTCAGATTTGACCCTCCTGGCGCTCCCGATTATTACCCTGGCTTTAGCACGGCTGCCATACGGCGCTCTAGCATTTCAAGGAATAAATTCCTACCAGGTACCCATTTACTTCACCTGGGTGGAGTGTGGCAAGTGTAGATCAATGTCTTGCCAAAGGACATTAATGCGGCGGCGGGACTCGAACCGCGGACCTTGTGATCGACAGTCCGGCGACGTATCCACTCGACCACAACACCTCTACAGTGGTGTACATGCTTTCCCCTAGAATTCTACAACATTGAAATTTGTGATTACCTTTGTGCGGCAAATCTTGGGTAGCTATCTTTAACGCCTAATTTACAAAAAAAATATGTTTGTCTCTATCTAATCATTGTTTAGTACATTTTGGGGGGTTATAAATAATTTATTTATACCACAAATTATCATATTTTACATTGCAGGTGGTGGTAGACGATGATGCAAATAAGTACTGGACGATGTATGATGCAGGTCCAAGGAATGTCAGATGCCCATTGATCTGTCTCCCTCCTGTCAGCGGCACAGCTGATGTGTACTTTAGACAGATCCTTGGCCTTACAGCCAAAGGCTACAGGGTTATTGGGGTAGGTTTCATTCATATAACCTGTTATTAGTATAGTCTGAGAGCTGCTCAATGATACAATCACCCGTCCCCTCCTCCTCATCTTCTCCTTGTAACAAATATCAGTTGCCAGTTGTTCTGTCTCTCCCCTGTGAGTGGAACAGCCGATGTGTACTTCAAACCGATCCTACATGTAGGTTTTACTGTCAAAGGCTACAGGGTGATCGGGTAGGTGTTGTTGATATCAGCTGTGAGTAGCACACTCTGATAGCTACTCAATATTACTTTAAACTGCCATTCCCCTTCTCTTCTGCCTCTCAAAATGAACATCAGTTGCCCCCTGATCTGTCTCCCTCCCGTCAGGCACAACCGATGTGTACTTCAAACAGAACCTGGCTCTTACTGGCAATGGCTGCAAGGGTTATAGGGGTAGGTTGCATTCATATCAGATGTGATTAAAACACACTCCGTTGAGAGCCACTCAATACTACCTTTAGAGGTCAATCCAACCCTTGTAATATTAGTAAGTTGATTCGTATGAAAGCAGAAAAATAACAGAAACAGAATGGCAAAAGATTTCGGCTGAAATGAATTGACATTACTGCTTCACCCAATTCAAAGTGTCCAAACATGTATGTACATGTATAGTCATTACAACTTTTAAAAATCCACAACTTTCTTATTTAGTCAGATATTTTAATTGAAACTTTCATCAGTTTGCTTCTCTGATTTTTTGCTTTCTTTTAGAGTAGTTGTCTATTTGGGTTGGATTTCCCTTTAAACCTCACTCCCTCAAAAAAAAAAATTAAATGTCTGTTGGTCTGTCTCCCTCCTACAGTATGAACTGAAAAACCAATGCTTCATATGTCTAGTGTATACTGGTTGTTGAACATTTTAAACTTGTGTATAATGTATATGATATCTATCCTTTGTCATTTTTTCCCCTATAGTTGGAATTTCCTGTACATTGGACAGTTCAAGAATTTTGTGAAAGCTTTAGGAAGTTGTTGGATCACATGCATTTAGACAAGGTAACTAAGTTCCATCACTTTTTATGAATGATAGTATTTCCCACAAAATGATGCTCACTTTGTCACAATTTTTCTGAAATATTTGGTACGTAAGGTCTATTCATCATTTCAAATGAAATCAGAAGTGCACAAATTGTGCATAAATCAATAAAAATATGAATAATGCTAGTAAATAATATTGAAAGCTTTAGCTTACAAATATTTTGTAGAATAAATTGACTCATTAGGCAGTGTCACACAGAGGCCAAAAATCCTTATCCGGATTTTAGTTATCCTCTTAATTGGCTGTCTGTCATCAATTATCCCTTCAAAAACCCCTTCAGAAATCCCTTCAAAAATCCTCTAACGAAGCAAAATAATTCACCCTTGAAAGGATTTTTCAAGGGATTTTTCTGTCTGACACCAATGTTGAAATAATCCCCTTTAAGGTCAGTGTACGGTCAATATTTGACTACATGTAAGTGATTGGCTGGCATATGGTTTTTAAGGCACTATCATAACCTGTGCACAATTATATTATTAGCGCGCGCAATTAATGAGACACGTTAATTGCGCATTACTTTTGATTGAACGTGTGATGTCACAATGCTTATTTACCTAAACGGCGCGTGTGCAATGGCCCATCAAAAATCCGGATTTTAGTTATTCGGATTGTTTGAGCCTGTCTGTCACCGAGGTAAATGAAAAAAATAGATTTTTAAAATCTGGTTTATTCAAGATGGGTTGAGATTTTTCTGTGTGACACCGCCTAGTGTGTACATGTTCTTCTTTGTTTCTTATAAAGGGCAAAAACTAAATATATGGACATAATTTGTCACAAATCCAATTTCCATGTATGTTATACATGTATACATGTATGTTAAATAGCACCTTTGAGGTAGTTTGATGTTCGATTCCGCAACTTTAATTTTTTCATTTTGCTCATTTAATACATGTATACCAGAATTATGAGACAAAACTATAAAAATCATCTAATATCATCTCATATATGTATTATACAAAACATTGTGGTTAATATTGAGCAATGAATCATGGACTTCCGTTTGTCAAAGCATTAGCGATTTGGTTTTGGGTTATTCTTTCCATAAAATTTCCAGAGACAGAAGAAAAAAATCACATGTCACCATTTACTAGTTGGACTTTGGTCTTTTGTTATTGTGAAAGATCATCAAAGAGAAAGCAAAACTTAATATTAAAAGTAAAAATATGCTACAGTTAAAGTAGAAACCAATCTAGCATGTGATAATACTTCTTGGAAATAATTCATTAAATGCCTGCTGTTAAAGTATGTTTTAAAGTTGTTTAACCAGAGTTGGGAAGAAAATTACTTTAAAGGAAACCAAAACCTTCATACTAAGTTACTTTTATTGTAAAGTTTAAGATATTTGAAAAATATCAGTGAAAATTTGAACAAAATCGGGCAAGGAATAAGGAAGTAAGAGCTTTTTGAAATGACTAGTCACTAGGGGGCGGTATTCAATTTGATGACATCATCTGTGGACAACTCTCCATGCCTTTTGTACATCAAATTTCATGTTTTTCCTTCTTTCTTGTGATTGAGATAATGTAGTGCCCCGAAAGCAAGATATAGAATGCAAAATGATATTCTACTTCATATGTTATGAAGTCGGATCAAGAACACAAATAAATACGAAGAAAACAAAAAAAATGTCAAATTTTATGTACAAAAGGCATGGAGAGTTGTTCACAGATGATGTCATCAAATTGAATACCGCCCTCTAGTGACTAGTCATTTCAAAAAGCTTCATATCTGATTGATACACGTCTGTATAAAACCAAATATACACACATACAATCTTACTTCCTTATTCCTTGCCCGATTTTGTTCAATTTTTCACTGATTTTATTCAAATCTTTAAAACTTTACAATAAAAGTAACTTAGTATGAAGGTTTTGGTTTCCTTTAATGTTAGATATTTAACATAAAACTTTGAATTGTGTAAAATAGGGTGATTTCTTTCTTATTCATTTCTTATTTATTTTTTATGTATGTTGAAGCTACACTTTGAGATAGATTGTGAATAACATATAGTCTGATCATGGAGTGTATGGGGATCATAATTTGTTCTCAAGTTTTATAGTTGAAATTTGATTTAAAAATGATGAAATTTTGTTCAGTCTGAATTAATTTGCACACTAGTTTATGGCATTTTCAGAGCAAGCCTCATTTTGAAAGCTTGCCAGGGAAGGATTGATCCCATTACATGCAGACGTACCATGTATTTGAAAATGAAAAAGGAGATGAAAATATAAAAGCTCATGCTATAAAGTTTGGGCAATAGCTTGCAAATCATAGAATGTAAGAATCTCTATTATGCTCCACAGAACTCTTCTGGCATTTACATGCTATGTAAAAGTGAGATTTCATGCATCAGTTTCTATCCATTCATTTCCTTTTCCACCAGTGCTTTCTTTGTCTTTAATCCCGTGTATTTTTTCTTCTCTTGCAGGTTCACGTTTTTGGTTCTTCACTGGGCGGATACCTGTGCCAGAAGTTTGCCGAGTATACATTCCGTAGTCCGAGAGTAGCCTCACTCATTCTGTGCAACACCTTCACGGACACAGAGATATTCCAGCAAGGCATGGCTGCATCATCGTAAGTGAAAGCTAATATCCTGAGAGTATTTCAACTCAGATACTTGAAAGGATTTACATGTAAAGGCAAGGGTGATTGCACGCAGCAGCTGTGGGTGGGGGGGGGGGGGGGAACTTGTGTGAGTGCCGTGAAGTGTTTTGTTGTTGATAGGAAACAGTATGGTTGAGCACTGTCTGCTCAATTGGAATGGGGGAAAAATAGAAGGTTGGATATCGGATAACATTTATGATCCTACAGTATTTCTCTTTCTCACGAATCTGTGAATCTTTCTCTCTTCCTCTCGTCATTCAATTTTATTACCAATTTAATGTCATGTCAAAGAGATGCCTTTTTGTTATAACTTTAAACAGCTTGATCAAAGAACAGTATTGAGGGATTACTCTTTTGCGTCTCTGTGAGGCTCTTCTGCAAACAATATTACACAGTATTCTCTCAGTTTTACATAGATTCTGCAATTCTGTCCCCATAGGTTCTGGATGATTCCTGGCTTTCTGCTCAAGAGGATGGTCCTGTCTAGCTTCAACAAGTCCCTCATGGAGCCCCAGATAGCAGACTCGATAGACTTCATGGTGGAAAAGGTATCTCAAGCGGATATAAGGAATGTGTGTCATTGTCACAATGTAACTTGAATTTCTTTCATTCTAACCCCTCATGACCCCATTGAGTTGTACAGGCAGAGAATGTAATAGACATGTGCTAGTTGAATGGATGTGTTTGGCAGCAATTTAGGCACTGATTAGGCCTAGGTCAACTAACTGGGGTTCTCTAGTTTAGCAGGTGTTATTCTTTGTGTATGTGTGTGTGTGGAAAGAATGAGGAGAATGTTGATAGGATAGTTTTGTATAGAGGATTCAGTAAAAGGAATTTTGATTGGACAGTTTTGGCATTAGAGGAATTCAAAGAATTTTAAGGAGTTTACTACTGAGAGAACCAAAGTGGGTTGAAGATTTAGTGAAGTTTAGTCCGATTGCTTTGGAGATCTCGAGAGGATCAGACATATCTGATCTTGGTATGATTTTGGAGTGAATGAGGGGGTGTTGGCCACGAAGGTGAATGTTACAGGCTATGCATGCTGCTGGCATAGCAGACTTTCTCTATAGGACCAGACAAGGACCTTTTTTTCATTTATGGTTGAATGATCTATTGAAAATCCATGATATTTATCCAATATTGTACTGGCATCATCATCATTACCCACATGATGATTCTATACATGGACATGCACTCTACTTTACCAAACACAATAATTTTTTTTATAATTTGCCAAGAGGAGCATAGATACAGGCTATATATGTTCATTGACATATACATGCACATCTCACTTTTCTGGTTTTGCTTTTCCCTATGCATGACTGGAAAAAGTGTCCTTTGGGAGCCTTGGGGAAAAATCTAGTAAGACTCGAACATCTTTGTTGCCAGTCTGAAAGATTTTCTCTGTGGCAAGGGTGTGCTAGATTAACAACATCACACTACATCCACATCTATGTGGATCGTGATGCTGGGTGCCAGGGCCGCCAGCATTCAGGAGATTTAGGCTGGATGGTAGTATGCACCTTGTACATTTATAGATGAAACCCCAAGATATTGTGACAATATTGTTTGCTTTGTATCAACATCTTTGTCCTAAATGGAAACGCAATAAGATCTCACTATAATTTACGTCTCATTTTCATTTCAGTTACATAATTACACTTCTCTATGTGGAACAAAGGAGCTGACACTTGGCATTCCATAAATCAGTGCACTAAGTTATTAAAGCCATATTTAACTTGGGCTGCTTTCAAGAATATGGGCCAAGAGGTATATTTTAGGGTTGACAGCTGGGAGACCTGGGACCCATTTCACAAAACTTGTCATCAGTGACAAATGACAGTTTTTGTTATAAGCTAGTGAATTCCTTGCTTCTGATTGGTTATCAGAAGATTTGTCACGGATTTTTGCCATTTGTTGTTGAAAAAAGGCTTTGTGAAATGGGTCCAAGATTATGAACACATTCAGTAGTCATCAACCTGAAATACAAATTAGACTGACTCGTATAACTGAGTTTTCTCTATGTTTCATTGCTCCTCCCTCTCTGTTGCTGTTTCATCCATCCGCATCCCCGTCCAGCTGGATAGCTTGAAGCAGCAGGAGCTGGCTAGTCGGCTCACCCTCAACTGCCTCAGTTCCTACGTCGAACCTCAGAAACTCAGAGATGTCGATGTCACCATCATAGATGTGAGTTGGTTGAAAAAAGAGATACCGAACCAAACAATGGTATTGGGTATATTATTATCTGTTTGGAGCCAGAAAGGTGCTAATAAACGCATATACTTTGACACCTAGTTAAAAGGCAATCTAACCCTTGTAATAATTTTATTTGTATGAAAGCAGAAAATTGATATAAACAGAATGGCAAAAGTTTGAAATAAAGCAGACCAGTAAAAGGAAAGTTATGAATGTTTGACATATGAGATCACTAAGTCTATGCAAATCTCCCATTTGCAAATTGGTCAGTGGATTATGACGTAGTCAAGGATAACTCTCCTGTTTGTCTTGTACAAAAATATCAAATTAAGCATTTTGGTTGAATGGGTGCCACTTACATTCATTTGTGGCCCATTTGCTGGTTTGCCCAGATTTATAAAAAAGTAGATAAATGATGAGTAAGAGGGATGATAGCTCTGCACATTATAAAAGCTCAAAACACAAATAATGTTCTGTCTTGGTTAGCCAATCTCACTACTTTGAAATCACCTGTCCTTGTACATCGTAGCTTTACAAATTTGAACTTGAATAAAAAACACAAATGATAAAGGTGAGCCCAATTAATCTTGAAGCCATTGCTTAAACTGCCCTTTTAGAAAAGACTATGTGATATAGTAATCAGCTTTGAATTACATATAAAGAGCTGCATTGTAATATTCAACATATAATAATGTTTTCCATGTACACAGGTGTATGATGAATGTGCCTTATCACAAGAAGTGCGAGATGACATGTACAAGTGCTATCCAGAAGGACGCAGGGCCCACATGAAGAATGGAGGGAATTTCCCTTACCTGTGCGCCAGTGATGAAGTCAATCTGCATCTTGAGGTTCGTGAAATCAGTAACATTTAGTGTTGGAACTGGAGGTACGATTGTATAAGTTGGGCATTCTTATGGGAGTTTTTTTTAATTTTCAATGGGAAATTAAGAAGTTTAAATGAAGCTTATCAATCCCAAAGGACGAAACATTACATGGTAACCTATTGTGATTTCAGCCATTAAACTAATACAGAGTGTTTGTAGACATATTGTCATTAGTATGGCATTTTAATTCTTCCTTTTTTCATTGAGAGGGGGGGGGGGGGTAGGGAAGGAGCACTGTTCTGGCTATGGATGTCTGATGGACATTGGTAGGGTAAAAAAGGTTAAGAACCACCAACCTTCTATATGCCCAATGTTTTTTGTGGGAGAAATTACTTATGATTTGAAAACTTGTATCACATCAATCTGTGAGCATATTAGAGACGAAGTACTGTGTATGCACATCTCACTTTCCTGGTTTTGCTTCTGTCAGTGCATTATTGGGAGAGTGTCCTGGAGAGGTCTTGGGAGAATTTAGTAAGACTCAAACGTCTTTATTGATGCGAGTCTAAAAAATTCTCCCTATGACAAGAATGTGCTAGATTAATGACATCACACTATGTCCTCGTCTGTGTGGACGATGATGCCTGGGTGCCAGGGCCACCAGCATTTAGGAGATTTAGGCTGGATGGTAGTATGCACCTTGTACATTTATTACTTTTGAGGTTAAATACAATAATATGAAAATAATTTGATCTTAGTGATGTTGAATTGAAAAGAATGTTGATCTGAATAAGCCTAGTATGTTGTCATGTGGAAATATTTCTCTCTAATAATTGCAGGCTTTTTTCTCATTTGAGAGAGGTGGTTTGCGTTTGATGTTGCTGTGGTCAATAGATTGGTTTCAAATATTTAAAAAAGTGTTAGGCTAGTTATATTCAATCAATGAAGATATGCCTTAACTGGCATTGTCAATGAAATGTCTTAAAGCAGTATTTTAAAATTTATTATTTTTCTTTCCAGAAAAACAAATATAAATAAAAAGGAGTAATTTTGTGATCAGATCTCAGATGAACAAAAATTTTGCAATTAATACTACAGTTAAACATGTCTACAGCGACCGCCCAAGGAAAACACAAAGTGGTCTTTGTAGACAGGTTCCTTTACATGTTTCAATGAGAAACCATTTTCAAGGGAACGAAAAATGAGCTTGTTGTAGACAGGTGGTTACTAAAGCAGGTTTGACTGTATCTCTCTTTTAATTTTGTCCCTAGATTCATTTGAGGAGGTTTCTTGATGGCCGTTACAGTGCCAGAGATCATGCCATTAAGGATCCCAAACCTGAGCTAGCCACGGAAGCTGCGTCCACATCTCAGAACGGCACAGGGACGAGCGAAGAAGCAGAAGCCTCGGAAATGTGAATGTGAACAAGCCTTTTCAGGAGACTGAATGCACGCTTTTTCGAACATCTTTTATAGAATGCGTCCATACAATCTTTACATCCTCATTTAAGCAAGGAAATGAGCAGCAGTCTCAGAGATGTAAACATGCCTTCATAGGAGAATGAAAGTCATAAATAGCAATTTGATGATTTTTTAAGCACTTACAGGTGCGTCTATACAAAAATTATTTCCTGATACAAGCAAAGATTGATGCAGAAGGCCAAGAAACAAAAACGTGCCTTTCAGTGAGACTGAATTCCTGTGCAATTCAATGCTATTCACCCAGGAAATCAAAGTCTTGTATGAACTCACCTTGCAGTCATCAACATGCCATTTATACAGGTGAACCAATCTACCAGCATCTGTGACAAGAAACTCAAGGTGAAGTCCACATGAAATGAGAGTTGATACCCAATCGAAAAGAATAAACTGTTATTGCCATATCCATGTTACACGTTCGTATCTTTACAAATAAATCCCCTTTTTTTCTATGTGTATATTGTTGTGTCACATGAAGATAGTTTATGACAGTCCTACATCCAGCTCTGACAATTTAGTTCTTATGGTGTCGCATGGTGTATATGTTGGCAAGAAGAAAGATCCACGTATTATATTTGGGTGTACATGTTTATTTGTGTATACAGGAATACCTCTCTTTAGGTATTGGAGAATAACGTTACATCTCAAACTGACGATTGGAAACAATTTCACTGCTACAGAAGAGAATTAGAAGGAAATTGCCAAATAGATTTGTTTGTGGCTTTATATATCCTGTCATGATTATGAAATAAGTTCAAGACATTGGGCCGTATGCATAAAAAGTAGCAATTGCTTGCAAGCAATTGCTTCAAGCACAAGCAATTGCTTGTCAAGCAAAAGATCAAGCTCAAGCAATTGCTTAAATCCGTATGCATAACATTTTGCTTGTGCTCAAACCTTTTGCTTGCCTCCAGCAAGCAATTGCTTACGATCTCAACAATAGCGACGTCACGCCGGTGCGAACATCATTCATGGGAGAACAAAGGCGGGTTTCGCATACTAGTAGTGTATTCAAATGTCATGCGTGTGGGGGTAGCCTCCATGCTCTCCACCGTTGTCAGACATCCTCCCCGTTTTTCATCATGTTCAAGTATGAACCTGTGTGCTAACCACTCAACGTTCTCTTTGTCGAAACGGAATAGTTTCCGATAGGTCTCGGGAACAATTTTTTCTCGATTTATTCTACTCCGGTACAACTTTGGTTTTTCTCTAACGAGCATAAACATGATGCTTAACCGCGAACGTCCCGATTAAGCAAGAGCTCAAGCTGCTATGACGGAGCTTGAAAAAACGTAAGCAATTGCTTATAAGAACAAGCAAAAGGTTCGTTTTATGCATACGTTTTTAAGCAATTGCTTGATCTTTAAGCAATTGCTTGCGGACATCAAGCAATTGCTTGTGCTTGCTAGCAAAAGCATTTGCTTGCAAGCAATTGATTATGTTTATGCATACGGATTCAAGTAAAAGGCTAGCACAAGCAATTGCTACTTTTTATGCATACGGCCCATTGTATTTGCCTTGTCCTTGTCCTGACTAATAAGTTTTACGCTATGCATAAGTATCTGAAGTGTGCATTTGCAATTGGGCAAGATTTAAATAAGTTGTTTGCATTATATTTATTCAGCCTTTGTTCAAAATGGTATAAAATACATCATCATTGTAGATCATCAGTCTAAACTTACCGTTTAACATTTAAAGGCGTATATATATATATATACATATATACATACTCCTATTAATTCATCACTGCTTTTGAAAAGCTTTGTAATTTCAGGCGAAATTATTAACATTTAAATGTACATTTGTGATTGGTAAGTGCACTTAGGGTTGCTATTGCCACGGTTATCTAAACATTTTCTCGGGACTTCTACCCTTGATGAAGAAATAAAATAAAGTTGAAATCCTCAAATGAGTTGAAAGCTGGTAATCTGTGATCCCTGATAAAAAACTTGTCACTTAAAATCAAAAGCAACGTTAAGAATATAATTCAACAAAGAATAAAGAACGGATTTAGTATTCAATGTCTGAAGAGCTCAGCTATGATTTATGTTTTTTGGTGCCTAAATATAGTAGATATGTTTTCGGGGAGTTAGAGGTATTATTCACCATTTTGACATGGTAAGAAGTAGATGAAAAGTCACATGTATTTTATTTGTCTCATTATGTAATGAATGTTTTCAAAAAGTTAGGAAGAAATTTGATAGGCCTTTTCTGCTTGATAAAGGGGAGAAATTCATTGTAATCTTAAAGAAAGGATTTCACAAATGATTTTAAATTGACGGGTATCATGAAGGAGAATTAATTTAAAGGAACTCACGGCATTGTCGCTTCCCTTACTACCTTTCTTCTTGTGATCTTAATTTACTTTTGTAAGCAACTTTGTTAAAAGTTTGATTTGTCCATCTATATTCAAACTGAATTAATCCACTGTTTCTTCCTGGACAGGTGCATGTTGAGCTTTAGATTGTGAACAATTCAAGGGTGATTTCTTAATGATAATGTATGGAAAGTTGTTGCGGATATGTCTTAAGTTGTGTGCAATGAAGAGTTCGAATTATGAAAAGGTTGGTGGAACATTATTTTTCTTATAAACATATATGTATGTGAGAGAAAAGAGGATTTAGCAAATACGTAGTCTATGGAGTATTGTCTGTATAAATTCTATAAACATATTAGTAATGATTATTTTAACTTGAAGTATTATATATTCATGTATGTTTATCTACATGATTGGGGCAGTGCGGTTTACTTAATATGATTGTTATTGTTTTATAAATCAAAACATTGCTAATCACTTAAGACACAATTATGTTTTATTCTATACCATATTGGAGAAATACAAATGAACACCCAGTAGATAAGATCAATTGATCGATCTATAATTGAAAATCAGAAAAAATCTTGGAGCCAGCGGGATTCAAACCTGCCATCTACTACTGTGTGTAAGCCACAAATACATTTAAACATTTGAAATTTCTCCCAGGAAGCATATCTATATATAAAAAAGAAATTGGGTTACTTTTTTGCTTCCTCACAAATCACTCCCATTACATTTAGCTATCTCTAATAATTGAAGTGTCCTTAATATGAACAAAGTCTGGATAGAATTCTTTCATTTTTGGTGTGTGTTTGTTGATTATTTGATTTGATTTGTAAATGTATGCTCATATTTGCACCCATATTTTTCATACATTTTTGTATCACTTTGGCACATGTGTTGTTTCATAGATATCATTTTTAGGGCAAATGTTGGCCTTTTTGCTGAAACCGTATACATGTATAGATTTATATGTAAGAGGAAAAATATTGTATCATTTTGAAATTACATTTATACGGAGAATCAATGCTATGTATTGTATATGTTGTAAATAATCAAACAAATAAATATTTTACATCATGGCTTTCCATAATATCAGTACATGTAATCATAAGAAAATTTTGTTTCTAATCTGAAATGTAAAAGTACTCTAATGCCATTTGTGTTCATTACAAATGTAGAGTTGTAAAGATATATTCACATACAATGTGAAATAGTATCACATGATTAAGATTTGGAAAAATAGTATAATTTATGTTTCTTTCTACTTCTAAAGTATTGTTCCGAGAAGATATTCCATTTTGAGAGTCAAAGTATCATGAATTAAACAAGCTCTCTTTGTAAGTTTGTATGTTACAAATTGCATTATAAATCTCATGTACATGTACCTTAGTATTAAAGTTTAAAGGGCATATATCATCTGTTCAGTAGAAAGATACATTTTTGTTGTAAATATTTTTTTGGGGGTCTCAAATAAAGTATTCATATACTAGATAAGTAACACAAAATCGTTTTAGCAGGATATTTTATTTAAGTCAATCAGCCTGGCTAGTAAAACAACTCTTCCACCCTATCAAACAGGGACTCTAGGCATGTGTTGTAGGTATAAAAAAAGTGTTCATACTATTTCCCTCGACGCTAGCACACTGTGCATGATGTGCTGTATGCACTATGCAATATTCTGGTCATTCTAGATTAACAGATTTTCTAGATTTTCTTATGAAAGTTCACCACTACATTGGGTATTCAGTGTTGAATTATTTCCTAATCACTTGATATTGTATAAGGGGTGTTTTGTTTAACACGTGACACCTGTAGGCGAATTGCTGACACTACCGTCATGGGATTTGTTTGAATTCCTTCTGTTTATGCTTCATTCTATTTTTTCTTCCATAACAAATGTTTGATAGTAATTAGTTTGTGACATTAATTACACGCAACATTCTATTGATTTCACAAAAATCTTTCATTCTGTTCCTAATACATTGTAGTTCTGTTTGCATACCTGCACATGTAGTGCATTGATATATGATGGCTATTGGTCTTTTGTCATTCCCAGAATTTTGTAATAAATGCATATATTCATTCAAACTCGTGTGTTAAAGCATTAAAGAATGTGGATTGTGTGTAGAGCGTAGGAAGAATGTTCTAAGTGGTGAAGACAACCTAATTGATGGCATACCTTTCGCCATCAGTCGTGACAAGTTTATTGGGTTCTTAAACACATGCTACGGAGGTGGTTACTCTGCAGTCTATTACACAAACTATCCACTAACAAATGGGAAATTTTAAACATTAAAGGGATAGTTGAGTTCTGTTTTCAGACCGCAAATGCCTTCAAAGTGCATAGTTATTGCTCTTATTCTTATCCATGACATTTATAGTGCCCTTTTAGAACCTAAAAATGCTAGGAAGGTAATTTTAGACTCCAAAATGTGTGAAATTTGGCCAACACGATCATACCAATTCAGCTCCACTTTCAAAAAAACATGGTGACCATTGATTAATTATTTAATTTTAAAAAAAATACATGCGCCGGCTAATTGTGGGTAATATAAGTAACACGAAAATGCCAACAAAAAAGCCAACATCGGCATTGGTTGAAATACGACGTAAAAGGCGTAATTTCATTTTTCCAACTGTTTTTTCAAATTTTTCAAAATATCTAATAAGATTTGTGGTGGAACACAAGTATTAGAAATCATTATATTTCAGCCGTCTCTGAGCCGATTTTGATCAAACAAAGAGGATTTTTTCATTTAAATATTATGTTCTTTTAAATTTGACACTCGGGTTTTTCATTATCTCACAATTTTTTTTGTGTGTAGCGCCCTCTGCAACAGAACTCAACTATCCGTTTAACTTTGGACTAAACACTACATTACCTAATCTTGGCTATAAACCCCCATAGCAACCCTCCCCATAAACCTGTCTCTTTGATGGCATAACCTGCAGCAAATGTCTAGTGACCCTACATTATAGTATTACTGACTGCTCCCAGGTCGAAAATCCTATAGAGACCAATAGAGACCATTAGAAAAATTCTATTGGTCTCTAATGGTTTCTGTTGGAGTCTATTGGTTTCTGTTGGACCCATAGAATTGAATCCAATAGAGACCATTCAAACCATCAGAAACCAATAGAAACCAATAGCACCCATAGAAACCAATAGAAATAGAAACCAATAGGACCAATAGAAACCAATAGGACCAATAGAAACCAATAAGACCGATAGGACCAATAGGACCAATAGGACCAATAGGACCAATAGGACCAATAGAAAACCAATGAGACCAATAGAACCCAATGGGACCAATAGAAACCAATAGAAACCAACAGCAAAATCTATCTCATGCATATTCATGATTACTTTATACGTGTTCAAAGAAAATTACATTTATCATAATTTGTTAAGCAACTTGTGATAATGTACATCAATTTTG